GGGCCATCTTCCACTGCTTTCCCAGGCCATAACAAAGAGATGTATCAGAAGAGGAGCAGCCGGGACTTGAACCAGTGCCCATACGGGATGCTGGCACTTCTGGGCAGGGCGTTAACCCACAGTGCCACTGCGCTGGCCCTAAAGCCAGATATTTAAACCCATCCTAACAACTAAAATCCAATTTCAAAATGGAAATAATTATTGCTACTTCTTTTTTCATATGCAACTCATAATGGCTTTTCAGATGAGTATTTTAAAACATGTAAAGGCACTGAAGTCTCCAGACACTTGCTAATTTACGAAGAATGAAGTGACAGTGTTTCTAGAGTACACCTGACATCTCCTGTGTTAGCCACTTTGGTAATCAGCACAGTGCTCCACATGCAACAGTAGGAATAAATAATGTTTTCTTGCTGTTTCTGCTGATAGGCAGACCTTGAAAAAATAACAATCAAATAATAGGGGTTGTGTTTGGTGGTTCTCCTAAGGCAAATGTGATTTGTATAGCCAGCAAATTGTTCAATTATTAACGTGTGCATACAAGTGAGGGGACTTAAGAATGTTCATGGAAAATAGAATTAAAAGATAAATTTACTTTGGTGCAAAAGTTTTTGAAATTTATGCAGATTATGGGGTCTTCAATAAGTTCATAGAAAATGCATATTATGAAAAAACTAAGCATGGGTGTCAAAATTTTTACATCAGAAAAATCTTTTCTTTGAATTCCATGTTTCCATGAGCATTTTAAAATTGTTACTATAAAGAGAACGATTCATGTATTTCACAGATAAAAATCTTAAGAATATAATGATAACTTCCTTCTTCCTTCCCTCCCTTCCTCTCTCCCCCCTCCCTCCCTCCTTCCCTCTCTTCCTTCCTTCCTTCTTTTAATTTTTGCCATAATGTATTTTGAATTTAGAACTTAATGATACACTAAATAAGGAGGTCAACAAGTGGAAAGTTTGCAGGAATACAATCAAGGGCTATAAACAAGCATCAAGTAAAAAAATGTCAATTTCATTCATACACAGTAAGCTTTTTTTTGTACTCTATATAATCAGACTCTAAATCAGAGAAAACATAATATCTGTGTTTTGGGACTGGCTTATTTCGCTAAGCATAATGGCCTCCAGTTGTATCCATTTTGTTCCAAAAGATAGGCTTTTTTTTTTTTTTAAACGGGTGTGTAGGATTTATTTTCTTTATCCAGTCATCAGTTCATGGACAACTGGGTTGATTCCAAATCTTAGCTATTGTGAATTGAGCTTCTATAAACATGGAGGTACAGATAACTCTTCCATATACTGATTTCATTTCCTTTGGGTATATTCCCAGAAGTGGAAAGTCTAGGTCAAATTGTAGATCTATTTTTAGATTTCTCAGGAATCTCCATACTGTCTTCTATAGCAGTTACACTATTTGACATTCCTCTGTGAACTTTTTGAAGTCCTGTCCTACATATTTGAATGCAAGTAGTCAGACTTTCCACTCTTAAATTTACCACAATCCATACCCTATTGCATCAAGTGAGGTATACAGTCAATAATTTAAGATTCCTGCTGGGCCTTGGTAAAGGTATTTGAATTTACAAAATCTGAGACTTTCTACTACGTTGAAAATGTATTCTGTGAGTTTTTAAGAAAACTAGAAGTTTGCTACTTCTTAAATAGGGACAAGTTCATAAATTGAAAGCAACTCACTTTTGGACTATGCAATGAATTACTTTTTTTCATATTGAAACTTAATTTCCCTCTGCATCCATTTAGTGCTTTATTAAAAGTGTTTTGAAATCTATTACTATGTTTACAGCATGTACATTTAAAAAAAGATTTATTTATTTAAAAATCCAAATTACAAAAAGGGAGGGAGGACTGGGGAGGAGGAGAGATGAGAGAGAGAGAGAAGAGAGAGAGATGGAGAGAGAGTCTTCCACCTGGTGGTTCACACCTGCAAAAAGCAACAGCCAGGACTGGGCCTGGTCGAAGCCAGTACTAGGAAATCATGCCAGCTCTCCCACCCAGGTGCAAGGGCTCAAGCACTTGGGCTATCTGCTGCTGTTTTCACAGGCACATTAGCAGGGAGATGGATCAGAAATGGGGCAGCCAGGACTCAATTAGGAGCTCATACGCGATGCTAGTGTTGTGGGCAGTGGCTTAACCAGTTGAGCCACAACGCAGGCCCTTATATGTACATTTTTAAGAATGCTGTTTGCTATAGAACATTTAATCCTCTAAGAATATAATTTCTGTTTCCTGAAAACTGCTTATTTTTTGATCTACTGGAATTTTAAAGTCCATAACTGCACATGGTTCCTTTTCAGTTTGAGTGTCAGAAAACTTTGAGTAAGATCTGTAGGTGGCCTTCACACTGTCTTTTTTCTAGTGTATTTTCCCTGATTGCTGCATTTTACACATCTCTTTCTTGATTTTGTGACTTAATGTTATGATATCATATTTGAAAAAATAATTATCTTTATAAAATTTGGAAGATGGTTGTCAAATGCTAAGAGTAACTTTTTTTTTAAAGATTTATTTATTTATTTGAAAGTCAGAGTTACACAGAGAGAGGAGAGGCAGAGAGAGAGAGAGAGAGAGGTCTTCCATCCGCTGATTCACTCCCCAGATGGCCGCAAAGGCCGGAGCTGCTGCAATACGAAGCCAAGAGCCAGGAGCCAGGAGCTTCCTCTGGGTCACCCATGCGAGTGTAGGGGCCCAAGCACTTGGGCCATCTTCTACTGCTTTCCCAGGCCATAGCAGAGAGCTGGATTGGAAGAGGAGCAGCCGGGAATAGAACCGGTGCCCATATGGGATGTCGGCGCTTCAGGCCAGGGCATTAACCCGCTGTGCCACAGCGCCGGCCCAAGAGTAACTTTTAGGAGATGAGATAATAGGTGATTTATGTTTCCATCTTTTGAATTGATTTTTTTTGTTCCTTTGTGGGTAGATGATCTTGTAGAACCAATACATATTTTGAAAGACAACAAGTACAGATAGATAAATTTTGTCCATTTTTTGCTTCTCTGTATTAAATGTGATTAGATTGCATAGGATTATTTAGAGACCTATCTTCTCTACTTTCAGACCAAGTTTATGATATGAATATTATCACATGTGGGTTGATTATTGTGGCTATACTCCTGCCATTGTCTATGATTCTCTATTGGCAAGTGCTTTGGATAGTTTTCATCAATCATTCCATTCTTCTACCTTTTCTTAGAATCTGACACCAGCAATATTCATACCTAATCCCCTCCTTGGTTCAGCCCAAGTAAAACTTTTTTTTCTTTCTTTTTAAAATTTATAGCTAAAGATAACAAAAATGTTTTTCTCAAATTAAAAAAATATTTATTTGGGAGGAGAGAGAGAGAGAGAGAGAGAGAGAGAGAGAGAGAGAGAGAGAATGTTCCACTCTCCCTTTGGAGTGCATTGTCTCACTCTCCAAATGCTCAAAATGACTTGGGGGTCTGAAGCAAGGAGTTGGGAACTCAACCCAGATCTCATATGAGGGTGGCAGAAAACCGATTACTTGACCATCACCTGCTGCTTTCCAGGGTTTGCATTAATAGTACGCTGGAGTCAGATATTGAACCCAGGTACCCTAACTGGCATGTTAACAGCTATGCCAAACACTTGCCTACCAAGTAAAACTTTTATTGGAAAGCTTTCGCTTTTTTTCCATGGTCCATTCTCAGTTGCTGCCGTCCGCTTTGTTTTTTTGCTATTCCACTCGAGTTATATGGCTGGCAAGCTACCTCTTGTTCCTTTCCTCACCTTCAATTTGATAAAAACTGGATTTCTTTTTGCATTAACTTAAAAAGGGTATTCAATAAATGGGTTAAGGACAGTTGGAAGTTGGTGTACTTGTGATAGTGAGTGATATTTTTCCCTATACCAGGTTTAAAAAATTCCAAATGGATTCTAGGTTAAAAAATGAAGACATACTCTGAAAGGAAGATAGTACAGGCAATAAATTGGTTTCTGGATAGTGATGGAGTTTCTAAGCATAAAATAAAGGCTGAAACTATTAAAGAAAAAAAGAGCAACAGTTTTGAAAATGTGAAAATTGGTTGTTAGTGTTTATGAAAAAGCAAAACCCCAAATATGTAAATGAGATTATGGATTGGACATTGAAAGTGGAGCCCAGTGGTGAGGGCTGTGGGAACATGGCTAAAGAATCGCTTCTTGATTGAAAAGATTTTGTAGATACTGGTGTTTTTGTGTCCAGCTAGCAAAACTAATTAGTGATGAACCTTACTAGTGATGATGGATTGTTTACTTTTTTTGTTCTAAGACTTCAGCTGGGTATCAGAAATGCCTACAAATTTTCCTTTGAAGTTATTTTCCTCCTAATCCTCTTCATAAGATTGATAGTAGCATATTTTCATGAGACAGTTACATTTTATGTAACCAAGTGATAATATAGGAAAAGGGACTTTTTAAAATAATTAGTATTTGTAGATTACATTAGTGTATGTATGCCCCCTTCCCCTAATGTTTTTAGAATTGTCATCATATTTGAAGTTTGTGGCTTATTTGTGTGAAAAGTGGTATTATCATTTTAGATAAAAAAATGGAAGCTCAAAAAACTTTCATGAGTTGCCCTTAATGAGGAAAATCTGAATATGGAAGTCAAAGATAAGAACTCTGGTTCTAAATCCCATCCTGTTCCTACATGGATGATGCTTCCAGATATTAATGGAGGAAGCTATCAATAAATAGATGGAATATTTTCTTGTGCTTGTTTGTAATCTGAGGGCCTGACTTCTGTAATCAGTATCCATTGTTTTACAGTGTCCTATTTAAATTTTATTTCAGTGTTAACTTAATGACTCTTTGTGGGACTATTGGTTTTGAAAGACCAATAGCTTTCTTCATATCCCTGCAACTGAGGTGAAACACTGAATAACAGCAAGTAACAGCAAACTCTTTGGTAGCACTTGCCATGTGGTGTTTTCATTTCATGACTCTCTAAGGATGATCTATACCATTCCCATTTTACAGATCAGAAAACCGAGGCACAGAGGACTTGCCCATGGTACACAGAAGCCATTACTTCATAACTGTATGTACCTTCAACTTAATTTTCTGTAGTTTCACATGAAAGAAAGTATCTTACAGCTTAAAAGATGGAGGCAATATTTCCAGCATTTACTGTTTACTCTATGCACTAAATGTCAGTTTATATACAGGTAGCTCTTGCTGCTAGCAGTAGCTTTGAAACCTCTTATTGTAATCAAGAAAATATTTTCAAAATCTTTCCACAGTTTATATATATACAGTGAGAAATACTTTGCACTTTGAAAATGTGGGATGAAACAAAGCCAGGTGCTGTTGGCTTTTATGTGAGGCAAGGAAAAGGGTGATGTGAGTCCTTTTCTTAGATTTTTGAGTGAAACGCTTTTTCTCTTAAAGCCGTTGTCTCTTTTTTCTTTACATAAAATGTATGCATATCAAAATGCTGGCTGTGAAATATATTTGTGGTCACATTTGCAACATCATTGAACTTGTGCTATTTAGTGACACATTTTAGATGTCCATGACAAAACTGATGCTTTTCGTCCACCAGAGCTACGGAATAATTAATCGGAAGCACCACTGGGGAAGGCCCCGCCGCATTCTGGGTTGGTTTGTAAAACAGGCCTGGGCGAGGGGCTCTCAGCAGGCCTCGTCACGTTACCTGTAATTTTTCACATGCGTATAGTTCATCACTGGTGACATTCTGGCTTTCAGATCAGTCATCTCTTAGGACTTAAAATTGATATATCAGTCTCAGCATAAAATGCTATCATTCCCGTAGACCAACTGTTTACCGGAGTATAACTCCTCCTGTGTCTCATTTCATCACACTGTTCCACACTGTGATGTTTCAATGTGAAATGAAGTTTTTTCATGCTGTGCTTCTGAGTAGAAAAAAGACAGAAGTACATGTATGATAAATGGTGACGATTCCAAGATAACCCTTCCAAAACAATACAGTGTGGAAGCATTGTATATTATACTTGCTTTAATAATTTAATGCATAAATGTGGCTTTTAAACTTTTATAACAAATACTATTTATGTGGCAGTGAGGGGAAGATCAATTGTATTTGCAGCGAATCACTTTATCTTCTAACTTATTTAGGAATTAGCAAAATACCACTGCTGTCGAATTGTCATAGTGAAATATCTATGGAGACTACACTATTAGTAAAAAATAAAATTACCATCATGTTTTTCAATTGTACATATATTTATTTACAGTTCTGTAAGAGAGGGAATTCATTTACAATTTTATTAAATCCAATTCTATTTCTTTATGTGGAGCTCAGGACCAAATTCTGGCTTCTTTTAGCAACAATAGAATTTAGGAGAAACACCTTGCTTAATTCCCTTATTGTTGTCTGAAAGATGCTGTAGTGTTGGCATTCTTTCTTTGGCCACAGAGTGCATTTTCTTTGCGGCTCTGAGTGTGGTCTGGCTGTGACATCAGCATCCCACTGATTCCTAGGGCTGATTCCACTGATTTGGCTGACTGGCCTGGGGTCCATATAGTTCCTTCACCACTCTAAAAGCTGTGCACTGGCAGAGGATGATGACATCCCCAGGGAGACCAGAGCCACTTAATTTTTGTCAAAATGGGAATGATTTCTTCCTTTTAGCATGCCTTGATTCAACCTGTGATGAAAAGTCTGATACACTGCTTTAAAGTGAATGGTAAAAGTGTTTAACCAAAAATAGGCTCAAATTATGCCTTCAGTTTGATGTAACATTGCAAATACTCAGTATTTTCTCTGAAAAATAACATTTCAGCTGGCACTTTTAATTCATTATTCTGTCTTCAAAATCTTTGCTGTACATCTTTTAGAGTATTGTGTTGGAAATGATTACGTATTGTAAGATAATATCCAGCCACTAAGCTTTGCTAACTGATGTGCAATCAGTAGTTGAATAACAATGAATGAATAAGTGATTTCAAAGAGATGTAAAAGAAAATCAAGAAAATGTTTTTTGGGAAAATATATTTTTATGAAAGTAATTTAGTCAACAGGTGATTATTTCTACCTTTTGCAAAAATTTTGGAAATATAAAAGTAATTGATTTGGTTATATTTTCTAGTGTGAGGCAATACAGACACATATGTGCAAGAAAATAGTTCTGAAATTATTTGTATAATTGACCTTTATAACTTGGGGATTAAAATTATATTGAATCCAGTACTCTTAGTAGATGAGATATTCTGGTAGTATTTTCTTAAAATGAGCACACTGAATGGGAGTTACCACCAGAAAAGTTGAGTTAGATAGGGCTTACATGCTTTGTGTATTTGTTTAAAAATCTATTACTCAAATAAAGTAAAGCTGACATTATGAAAGTTTTCTTTTCAACTTGCAAGATAAACTTACTCAAATGTAACATTTGTTTTGTAAACAGAGTATTTTGTAATAATAGGTATGTCAAGAGTTATTCTCTTAACCTGGCTCACATCTATTATTTTAGAATATTTTCAACAGCAGCTGTATTTTGTAACCTCAATTCAAATTGACCTGTTTTAATTAAAAACACTTTTAAAGAGACATTGTTGTTTAGAGCAGTTTTAAGCTCACAGCAAAGTTGAGTGGAAAGTACAGAGTTCCCATATGCCCCAGTCCCACACATCCACTGGCTCCCCCACTATCAACATCCCACACCAGAGTATTGTTTGCTCACAGTTGATGAATGTAATAGCTATATTTTTAATTCTGACACACATAAGTAAATTTTATTATGCAATTGTCCGTGTGAGAACCTATTAAACTATGAGAGGGAGCTTCAAAATAAATAATTCTGGAGAAATTTAAGCAATTTATTAACTTGTTATATCCAACTAAGGTCACTAGGATGCTTATTTCTACACATTCAAACTGTATGTGAGTATTGGTTGCTAAGATACGTCAATAAGTGACTTGTTATGCGAAGGAGAGAATAAAAAGGAAAGCTCAAATCTTGCCCTCCAGTCACTGCAGTGAAGATTTCAGACCGGAAGAAGTATTTGTTAGGCCTTGAAAATGTATGTAGATTAAGGTATGCATAGGGTTGCTAGATAAAATAAAGGATAACAATGGATAATTTCCGTTATATTAAACTTGCCCGTTGTTCATATGGAATTCAAATTTAATTGGCAGTGCTGGATTACTTTCTGCTGAAGCTGGCATTTCTAGGCATAGGGCACATTCTACTCAGAAAAAGCAATGTTCAAAGATACAAAGGAAAAGAATGGTAGATCCATGTTCATCTCAGAGTGCATACAGAACAGAATACATGTTTGAACATCAGGAATGTTTTGGGTTGGGTGAAATGAAGTAAGTTAATAATTGCTCAGGGACAACAAAAATATACATTGCAACTACCCTAGACAAATAGGAAGCAGTAATGCTGAGACCTTGAAGGGCAGTGGAACCCATAGCTCACAGGTGTTAAAAGGAAAGAGGTGCTTGGATACTCAGGATAGCTAGTGAGATACTGTGCAGCAGCTGCCTCAGACAGTAAGATAACTGTAATTTATGGAATATCGAGTGACCTAATATTCAATCTTTTGTGAGAATAATTCTTCAGTGACTGTAGCTTAGAACATGATTTAGGATTGTGAAAACCCAGGCATATGCTCAGCAGTTTTCCTAAATGATTCTCAGAATGCTGGCAAACAGTCATCGCGTTATTACTGAGTTCAGGGATATTATTTCCAATACTATCAAGACACAGACCTGGCCACATTCAAGCAAAATATAGTAGAGGTCAAAGAAGGTTTTCATCATATATTTGTTTATTAAAATTAGTCTGGACATGAATGAGCAGTATCCTCCACTACATCTAGCAAAGCCCTGAGTTAGGTAGAGAACATAAGGAAGGCCTGTGCCCAATGTGAAAAGGAGAATTTAAAGTTTCCCGCATGATCTAAAATAATGAAATGCTAAAATATGAATGAGTCTATATTTAGATGTTAACAATTCACATTTCAGTCAATAGTTAAAAGGCTTAAAATATTATTTTAATTATGAAAAGTTTCAAATACTTAGGAAGTAGAGAGAGTAATGCAATTAAATCCCTTATACCCACAACCCAGTTTTAGCTATGATCAGTATTTGTCACATAGCCTTTATCCAGCTTTTCTTCTCTTTGCTTTCCTTTATTGAGATCTTTAAAAGCAAATCATATGACTGACACTTAAAAAAATCAGCTAATTGGATACACAACAACAAATTGACAGGGGTTTATAAGTAGAATTGCAAGATGTAAATGATTACTTGGATTTTGTTTGTGTAGATACAGTTTGAGACCGAAAAAGATATATTTATATGTTGAAATAATCATATATTACCTTAGTTAAATCCATAATGTTCATGAGGAGTGTTGAATTACTAATCTTTTGCATTTGAATGCTATTTAATTGTACCCTCAAAATCTTACCTTTTATTAGAGCTGTATGCATAAAAAGCTCTCAAAACTTTAGACAGGTCTATTTTACCCTGCTTCAGAGGACAAAAAAAATTATAGTGATTTGGCTATACTTACATAACAATGCAATATTATGGCCTGGAACAGAAAAAGGATTTTATTCTGTTAATTTATCATTTGGTCTCCTAAACTGTTTTTCATTTATAAGAAATATCTGCCCAGATTGTCATGTTATAGTTAAATTTTATATTTCATGCGGGAGCAGAAGGAAGCTTTAGCAAAATACATTTTTTTGGATAAGCAGAATATATTTTAAAGGTTAGAAGAATTAAGATGAAAGAGTAATATATGAGTGCACAAAGATAAATATTCTGTCCTTCAAGGTTATTTTAACTGAATTAGAAGATTATTTATCCTGGTACTGTATTCTGGCAGAGGGCTAATGGAGGAATGTGGTCATTCCCTGTTGTCTTACTGAAGTTTGTAACGTTCTGAAAATATATATGGAGAATACTGGGGGAGGGAGGAAGAGAGAGCAATCACATCTATATAACTTTTATATAGTAGGTAATTATAATAATCTATTTTATCATTAGTTATTCTCATTAATCTCTTTATGACTGGCTTATAAATTAAAGTTCTAGACTCAGCTTTGGCCTGACCTAGCCCCAGCTGTTGCAGCCATTTGGAGGAGTAAACTAAGAGGTAGAAGATCTCTCTCTCTGTCTCTGCCTCTGTCTCTCACTGTCATATAGAGTTTCAAATAAACAAAATACAAAGTAAATATTTTAAAACAACTTGTGGTTATGTCTGCATAGGAAGAAATATAGTTTATCTGATGCTGAGGGCTATCCAGTGCATTCACTGGGGTTCTTGGCATGTATCCACTGCAGACAAAAGGGAGCTACTGCAGGTATTATTATTAGAGACACATAAAATGCGTCTACTCGTATTTGTTCAGGCCACCTCAGTCTATAATTTGAAGGCTTTCTGTACCCAGAAGATCCTGGATCTTTGCAAAGTTGGTTCCAACTGTCTCTGGAAGTCTCCATGTCACTAACCCAACTTGTTCCTGATCAGATCTGTTGCACTATCAAAGGGCATGACTACCATTTTTCTTGGTCTTTGTGCTGTTGTTGATTTCGTTTTCTTTGCCTGTATACCTAACAGAAGGATGGCTGGATCATACAGCCATCTATTATAATTTTGTGAAGAGTCTCCATATTGTTTTTAATAATGGCCTTGTCACTCAATTTTTAATAGATATTTGATTTAAGTCTGTATCTAGGCTATAGAGTCTCTCAACCATTCTTGTCTAACCAATATTTAAAATAAGTTTTGCTTTTTACCCTACTTAGAAATTTTGTATTTCATACAAAATACTGCTGTCTTTGAGATAAATGAAGACATAAATTAAAATTTCCCAAATCCAGACCACCACTATTAGCAGATTGATAGTATTTGTGGTATTTTGGTATATTTTGTAATATTTGGTAGATATTACAGAACAAAATTTTTAGAGTCAGAACAGTATTTTATTATATGAATATGAAATTAATTCCTTGCTTCCTTTTACTACAAGAGATTTCTTTCTATTTTGCTTTTCTCCTACTAAAAATAACAAACTTCCAATGAAAAATTTTGCATATGCATCTTTGCATTTTTGAAGAGGAGTTACTGAATTGCAGACCATGAAAATTTGTATTTTTTTTTTTTGACAGGCAGAGTGGACAGTGAGAGAGAGAGAGAGACAGAGAGAAAGGTCTTCCTTTTGCCATTGGTTCACCCTCTAATGGCTGCTGTGGCAGGCACGCTGCGGCTGGTGCATCGCGCTGATCTGAAGGCAGGAGCCAGGTACTTATCCTGGTCTCCCATGGGGTGCAGGGCCCAAGCACCTGGGCCATCCTCCACTGCACTCCCTGGCCACAGCAGAGAGCTGGCCTGGAAGAGGGGCAACTGGGACAGAATCTGGCGCCCCGACCGGGACTAGAACCCTGTGTGCCGGCGCCGCAGGTGGAGGATTAGCTTAGTGAGCCACGGCGCCAGCCGAAAATTTGTATTTTTTGATACTTATTGTCTGTTGCCCTTCAAAAAAGTTCTGGCAATTGTCACAAATTTGAAAATCTTTGTGAATAATTTATAGTTTGCTCACTTTTCTTTTAATGTACTATTGGTTAAGTGTTTCTGAGAGCATTTTAAAAAATATTAATTTATTTATTTGAAAGGTAGAGTTAGAGAGATGGAGAAATAGAGATCTTACATCTGGTGGTTCACTTCCCAAATGGCTGCAATAGCCATGGCTTGGCCAGGCTGAAGCCAACAGCCAGGAGCTTCACTGGGGTCTCTCACATGCGTGGAGGGGCTCAAGCACTTGAGCCATTCTCTGCTGCTTTCCCAGGCCATTTGCAGGGAGCTGGATAGAATATGGAGCAGCTGGGAATCAAATCAGTGCCCATATGGGATGCTGGCACTGCAGGTGGCAGCTTAGCTCACTGTGCCACAGCTCTGGCCCTGAGAGCATCTTAAATATTAAGGACAATTTTGCTTCATTGTCTATATTGCAAATAGATTTTCTTTTAGTTTGAAATGAAAAACATGCAGAAGTTTGAAAAGTTTATACTGACAAATTGATCGTTCTTTTACTTCTTAGTTTTTTGATAGCCTTCTCTGTTATCCAAGTGATCCAAATATTCATTAGATTTTGTCTGTTTTCACATTTTACACAAAGATAAATATTCTGTCCTTCAAGGTTATTTTAACTGAATTAGAAGATTATTTATCCTGGTGCTGTATTCTGGCAGAGGGCTAATGGAGGAATGTGGTCATTCCCTGTTGTCTTACTCAAGTTTGTAATTACTTTGTCTTGAAATTTCTACTAACATTGTTTCCTCTCCTTTGGAGCCAGGCAAAAATGATGAGAATTCAGCCAAGATCACTGGTGTGGCTCTGCAACTCCAATACTCTTTTGGGGTCTTGGTTGTCCTTGCAACTATTCTTTCCCCATTCCAGTGGCTTCCTTGTTAGATTTCCATCAAAGAGTCGTAGAATTTCTCTTCCATGACCATCTCAAGGTCACTGGGCACAATTGGATGTGTTTGAATCCCATTTTGGTCTAAAGCTGGAGCTCTTCTTTATTTGGAAAGGTGCTAAAAATTGAGAAACAAAATTCATGTAGAACTGATTTTGATATAGGTAATATCTGTTGAGAGAAGAGTATGTGAGAAAAATTCTGAGAAAAATATTCACATACTTCAGAAATCAGGTGTGTGTGTGTGTGTGTGTGTGTATGTGTGTGTGTGAATATAAGCAGGATGTCACAAATCCAAGTACTGAAAGAGGTCAGGAAAATAATGTAAATGAATGAAATAAGACAGGAGAAAGACATCAAAGATGGTAGGGGCTGTGTTGAACTGTGAAACACAAGCCCATGATAAAAGGGTTCCAGCCAAATGTTTTCAAACAAGAAGATTAATCCAGTATTGAGAGAACTTCCAGCACTTCACAAGAACCAGCAAATGTAGATTCAGTATACAATTCCAGTTTTTTAATGCTGACAACGAACTAAAAGGATTTAAAAGTATTTTGAGGGTCAAACAGAATATATTTATAAACTGGATCTGACCCGGGAAGTGCTAGTTTTTGGTTTTGCTCTAATCACATATTATGTTGGGTAGGCAAAAATCATATAAATTTATTTGTAAGATTACAACACAAATGGAAAGGCAATGTTTATGAGTGACAAGATCACATAAAATGATAGATTTAGCATCAGGATAAAAGGAAATTCCAAAATTCATATGAAATTGTATTAGTAAGAGAGTTGACTCACCATTCCTCTGAAGCATCCAGGTTTCAAATTTCAATCTGATTTGTACACTGGAAAGAATGATGAATGGGTGAAAGGAATGAGGAAGGCCAGTTTGAGTGCCAAGGACGAGCAGCACATTTATCGTGGTCATGGGACCCTGGGGTCTTCTCTGTGATGCCAGGACTCTGGAAGAGACGTTTCCTAATAAATAAAAAGACTTTGAAACAGACTCTCCTCATGTGATCAGCACCATAGGGTGTCTCTTGAAACAGGATGTGAACAACTGGAATGGAAATGGGGAACCTTGGAAGGATAATGAAAAAGGGACCCGAGTGCCCATAAATCTAATGTTCAGAGTACCTGAGGGGGCTCCCTCAATCACTAAGGATCACCCTTCTCATGCAATTTATTATACCCACTCTTTTAAAAACAGACGAACCAAGGGAAGGCCAAAAAGACAAGCACTAAACTGAGAGGCTCTGTGAATATTTAAAAAAAAACCACGTGAGTGATCATCACACAGATGTGTGTAATAACATCTCTCAACGAGCGGCTTTCCCCTTCCTTCCCATCTGTTTCTGTACTAGTAGCCTGGTCACTCCAGGAGCTGTTGTCCCTTTGGAATTGGACCTAGTTAGGGAAGGAAAAGTGGTATAAATGCATATTTTCTGCTTCTAGTGACTCTCTTTTCTAAAGAGCACACATTAAAGAAATTCTCCATATTAAAGAATATAGCTTCACTTCCAAGGAAAAATCCTACTAATCTTCATCCACATTTCTGTTCCTCTTGGTGTGCTTTCAAGTTGATCAGTGTTGGTTTCATAAAAATGTTCTAAAAGTTCTATTTCTCAGTTGCTGCATACCCAAAGAATATAAAATACTCTTTAGAAATTGTGGAGTTTTACTTTTTTTACTTTTGTCTGAGTATGTCATTCCTTTGTTTTGTTTTCAGGAGAGTAGAGGAGATATCCTTGAGTAGAGAAAGAAAAGGAAGATACAAAGAGCACATTATTGCTTCATCTATCATTTACTGAATGCTTGTTAGGCACACGAGAAGCATGAAATACATTTTATTTTATTGTAATCCTTACAAGAAGCATAGATATTATATGTTTTTCATCTTACACACAAGGTAAATAAATAAAATATACAACTTAAGAAATCTGCAGCAGCTGGTATGTAGAGAGACCTCTTTATCCTCAAAACTTTTGATTTCAAAACCTACATACTTAATCACTATAAAATTATCCCACATTTTCTTTTCAAAGAATCTCAACAACATAAAATTTATAATGGGTTATAAGTATTCTGTCTCTATTTTAAGACTTTCTTCCTTATGTAAAAGTTAAGAAAAAGCAGAAAATATATTGCTCTACAGATCTCAGACAGTCTTTTCTTTGACATAGTGGACATCAAAACTTAGTTATATCAAGTCTATGATGTGTATTTAAAGATATGTATACTTGAGGAAGGAAAAGAGAGAGAGAGAGAGAGAGAGAGAGAGAGAGAGAGAGAGAGAAACAGTCTACTTAGGCAATATAACCTGAGAGCCAGAAATGCAATCCACCCAGGTCTCCTACATGGGTGCAGGGACCCCTTTACTTGAGCTGTGACTTCTGCATCTCAGGGTCTGTACTAGAAAAAGCTGGAATTAGGAGCCAGAGTTAGCAACTGAACTCAGGTGCTATAAAGTGGAATCCTGGTCCACTAAGACAAATGAGCCTAGGAGGATTTTTTTTTAAAGAAATAAACTATCAAATACTTCTTTGAATAATAATATTTATATTTTATAGGTGTTTTTATAGGTGCTGATGAACTGCTTTCATAGATATGTATTTTATTAGAATGAAGGACATAGTGAAAGGAAGATAGAAGCATAAACTTAAGGCCAAAGTAGGGAAAGAAAATGGAATTTTGATAGAAGATCAAGAACCCGGAACATCAGATACATAAAAAAAACATGCTAGCAATTTTTCTGAGAACAGTAAAGCTAACCTGTGGGTATGGGTAAAAGTGAAAGGGAGTACGGGAGACTGATGGCTGTTGAGTGACACATGAGAGAGGGCAGTGCTTTGGAGAGAATGTGGAAAATGCATTGAATGGAGAACCAATCAGGAGAAAGCAGTCAGTGAGCAGTCAAAGGAAGAAGCTGGATGATGTTTCTCAATGCTTATCATTTTGGCAGAAATGGAAAGAAAAAAGGACATTCAAAAGAAAAATTCTGGATAACAAAGTAGAAAATATGAAGACAAAAGAGCACTGGACATTTTCAATAATTCCTATGTTTATAGCACATGTATCAGTTAGATGGTTGACTCATCACTGTACAATACATATTAAAAAGAAGCAGCTTTATCAGGAAAAACTAGGATTTTTATTCATTTATTTGAGACAAAGACATATATATATATATAGAGAGAGAGAGAGAGAGAGAGACATCATCTATTTATCTATCATCTACCTACCTACCTACCTACCTACCTATCATCTATCCATAACTTCCCATCACTGGTTTACCCCCAACATGCCCACAACATTTGAGTCTGGGCCAGGCTGAAGTTGGGAGCTGGGAACTCAATCCAGGTCTCCCACATAGGGAGCAGGAACCCTAATACTCGGCCATTACTGCTGCTTCCCAAAATCTGCATGGGCAGGAGGCTGGAGTCAGGAGCTAGGAATGGAACTGGTGTCTTCTGATAAAGGATTCAAGTGTCTCAACTGCTAGCCTAAATGCCATACCCCAAATTAGGTTTTTAGGTTTTTAGTGTGTTGTGTTTCTATTACTATAGTGTACCATATAGAAGTAATTTATTATTTAATTCTATGTTAGAGTAGAACCTACATTGATTGAAAATTTCTGTATAATTTCATGAAGCCTTCTGAAATGTAATAATGATATATGATAAAATTCTGTCACATGATAATTAGTATTGCAAAATTATTTGCTCTATAAAATCCCCTGTGCTATTTGGTAATTCCACAAAATTCACATAAAATTTAGGAAATATTTTAAATTGCATTAAATTATATATAAGCTTTTCACTATTAAATGTTTTGACTAACCTCAATTGTTATAAAAACATGGATTATGACCTTGTCTAAATAAGTTCGGAGTTGGTGAACTCAAGAGGCTTCCATAGCCTTGGCAGTTCATGACAAGAGCCTTGGGTAATTACTGATGTCATAAATAAGACTGTCAATTGTTAAATCAGCAACGGGAGTCACTGTACACTTGCTCCCCATGTAGGATCTCTGTCCTTAATATGTATTAATATGGTATTAATGGTAAATATTAATATGTATTAATGGTAAAACTATTACTCAAACAGCACTTTATACTTTGTGTATCTGTATGGGTACAAACTGTTGAAATCTTTACTTAGTATATACCTAGTTGATCCGTATATAAAGATAATTGAAAATGAAACTCAATGAAGAGTGGGATGGGAAATGGAGTGGGAGAGGGGCGGGCCGTGGATGGAGGGAGGTTGGGGGGGGGAAGCCACAATAATACAAAAGTTGCACTTTGTAAATTCACATTTATTAAATAAAAAAGAAAATATATTGGCAGAAATGCAAAAAAAAGAAAATGAATCTTGATGAAGAATGGGATGGGAGTGGGAGTGGGAGATGGGATGGTTGCAGGTGGGAGGGAGGTTATGGGGGGAAAAGCTGCTATAATCCAAAAGTTGTACTTTTGAAATTTATATTTATTAAATAAAAGTTTTAAAAAAATTAAAAAACATGAAATACCTCTTATATTTGACTTCTTTTCTGTTTTAATGATTTACAAAAATATTTGGTGGTCTAAATTAGCCTGATCAAATAAATTTATATTTTCGGAGATGACTCACAATAGAATAATCCACTTCATATTTGTGTTAATTAGCTTTTGCTATGTAACAAACCATCCCCAAAATCACCAAACTTAGTGGGTTAATCCAACACCCACTTAATTTAGCTCACAGTTCTATCACTTAGCTAGGACATTTTCCTGGTCTTGGCCAGCTGGATGTATGATATATGTATATATATATGTGTGTGTGTGTGTGTGTGTGTGTGTGTCTGTGTGTCTGTGTGTGTGTGTATCTCATCTGGCCTCTCCTGTGGACGTATGTTCCTCTGATAGATTTGCTGGTGACTGAATGATTCAGGTGACCTCACAAACAGCTTTTAATGGGAGTGCCTTAGTTCTTCTCCACGTGACTTCTCACTTTTGACATATTGGTTTGGGCTCATTATATAGTAGCCCCTGGGCCTGGGCACAACATAAGAAGGAAAGCCCCATGCAGAAGTGCTTTTTAAGCCTTCCTATCATCGTTGCGAATGTTCAAATCTCTGTAACAAGTCACTGTGCCAGCCAAAGGGCACAATAAAGGGGTTAAAAAAGAGCATGGATAAAGGGAAGAGATTAATTTGTAATTATTTTGCTATCTGCCTCAGGTAAAACATTTTTCAGATATTTATGTGGATCCATGAGATGCCATCATAAATGATAGTGTGATCTCTGCAATTGGCATTTGTAGGCTTAGAGATATTTGAAAAGTAGTAAGCTTCACATTGTCCTTATGGATAATGGCTAGCTGGGAGACAGAAATCACATAGAAATAAGTGCAGGGAAAGTTTAATATAAAGATTATCAGTTAGGGGCTGACATTTTGGTGCAACTAGTTAAACCCTAGCCTACAATGCAATAACTCAATGAGTGCCAGTTTGAGTCCTGGATGCTCCACTTCTGATACAGCTCCCTGCTAATGTGCTTGGGGAAGTAGCGTAAGATAGTCCAAGTGCTTGGGTCCCTGTCACTCAAGTGGGAGACTGAGATGGAGTTCCTGATAACTGGGGAGTAAACCAGTGGATGGAAGATCTCCCGCCAGCCCTGCTTCTCTATCTCTGTAATTCTGCCTTTCAAATAAATAAATAAGCCTTGAAAAAAACTATCTGTTCACAACAGGTTATTATTGTAACAGAGATCGGTTATGAAGGATGCAGCATAGAGCAGCAGAGGCAGAGTTCTGAAGAGAGGAACACATTTGGTATAGTCCCCTAACCCCAACACTGAGATTCAGACCTCACTGTGTGGCTGGGGCACTGTGTAGTTCAGGATTTTGTTAACGCATCAGGCCAAGTCTAGATGTCTGAAACCACACGTTGCAGGGAAGCTATCCATGGGAATGGCTGGGGGTAAGATCCCCTTGGACACTCTCAACCAGTTAGGAGTAGAGAAGAAACAAAAGCAGAAAACACCAGGACCAGGAATAGAAGCCTCTTCCTACTGAAATAGCCTGCCTGTGACCTCTGTTTTCAAAGATAAACATCAATGGTGCTGGCAAAACAGAAACTTTTATAAGATACAGCTTCAGTTATTTATGCTAGAGATTATGGTCAATAAATGCATCTGAACTTTTCCTTTGGAACTTGAATATAAGCAGAATTTGGATAAAGTTTATAATGACCTCTGCATCATGTATTTAGAAGAGTTAGTGAATTATCTTAGACAATTTTGTGGAATTATAACTTTATAATATAATTGTCATGAATATCAGATTGGCTTGTGATTTTTATTTTACAAATTGCTGTATTGTCAGCACTGATAAAATTCTACTCTCCTCTAACAGGAAAGTTCACTTCTATATAAAGTATACAAACAAAATATATATTACTTAAAACATATTTCCAAATTTTGAGAGAAGTTTATGTATACTTTCATTATTTTAGGCAAATTTGTATTTAGAGTACACTCAGAGTTGACAAGCATCTTAAAAATTTAGGATATTACTAATGTAACTGTCATAAAATTGTACTGGGGCACTCTTTCCATGTAACAGAAAATCATCAAATTGTAGCTCTAGTGGTAGTGCAATTTTAACCTTGTGTTCTAATCTCTTAAACTAGATTTAGGAAAAGTACCTAGAATTTTCTATATGTAGATGATTTAATCTTATAAGTAATATCATTAGTGTTATATTATTCAGAGTTAATGATAAAAAATTAATGTGGAGCCCTTTTCTTGAGACAGGATGAATTAGTGACCAATTGGAAATGTGTTAAAAAGGGAAAGATAGCACAATGGAGAAGAAGACAGATTAGGGAGCAAGAGGCCTTATCTTGTGTCAGCAGGAAGTTGATTGAGAAAAATGATGTCCAAAAAAAGTTCATCATAGTAGAGGACTTCAAAGAAAGTACAAATCAGTGCCATAATGACACCAAATTAACTCCATCCTTCTCCTTCCTAAGCTAGTCCTGCAATTAGGCCAGCATCCTAAAAAAAGTTAGTGATGTCAACTAACAACCAGAATTATAAAAGAAAAAAGTGCATAATTAAAGTTTATTTGGTTGGTTAAATTTTAAAGTATAAGATGGAGAAAACAAATGAAAATATTTTTATTTAAGAAGAAGGAAAATAAAGATTTAGTGATCATAAAAACTAAGTTACATCTGTAATTATGAGCTCATGGCCTCCAAAATAAATGTTTTTTTTTGTTGTTGTTGTTCTAGCCCAAAAGTAATCAATTAGCAATTAGCGTACAATTTTTTTTAAAGTTTATTTACTTTAGAGACAGTGGGAGGCCGGCGCCGTGGCTCAATAGGCTAATCCTCCACCTAGCGGCGCCGGCACACCGGGTTCTAGTCCCGGTCAGGGCGCTGGATTCTGTCCTGGTTGCCCCTCTTCCAGGCCAGCTCTCTGCTGTGGCCAGGGAGTGCAGTGGAGGAT